TCGCAACCTGTAGGTGTTATGAACAATGTGTTCACTAGATATACTTTAAAAACTTTGGCAGCTATGGACTTAGTGCCTTACAAATGAATGTTGGCAGCTATTGATTTAGTGCCTTATAGATCAATATTGGTAGCTATGGACTTAGTGCCTAACAAATAACATTGGCAGCTATGGACTTAGTGCTTGTTGGATAAACCCTAGAAGCGATGGACTTCACGCCTATTCCTTAGGACAATCCTTAGGAATGAGTGAATGAAAAAATGTGATTCTTAGCGTAGATCCTTGAGAATAAAGAAGATAATGTGGATGGAAAGTTGGGTTAATTGTTTGATGCTTAAACATAATAATTATATTATTGTGGGTTGAAAATCCTATGTACTCACCAGACTTCCCAACCTGACCTACTCAGTTTATATATATATATGTATATATATATATATACATATATATATATATATGTATATATATATATATATATATATATATATATATATATATATATATATATATATATATGTATATATCACAGGTGTCGATACAAAACTACGTTACACAGAGAGATTAACGGAGATGTAAATCATTAGTGTAAATTAATGTAAGGTTTGTTTATGCTTATGTTTATGTATTGATGATGACATCCCAAGTTTTAATATAAACAAAATACATTTTTTCGGAAATGCTTTGATAATATCTTTTTCATGTTTTCTGGGAACAAATTCCACAATATTATTCTTTAAAATGGATACTATGATTTTTAAATAAGCATAAATAAAAATTTTAAAATGACTGTGAATTTGCGGATGTCACAGTTGGTATAAAAGCATTAGTTTAAGCAAACTAGGAATTTGTAGGATTTCTAGACTTAAACTTAGAATTCTAAGCGATGATTGTGAGATGATTGTCTGCTATATTTTTGACACAAGAATTAGATTACTTTAGGAAAGATGCCTAAAATACTTTTATGTGCTAAATGAATTATGTTATAGATATAAAGATGTCTTATATGCTATTATTTGATCGGGTCTATGCTCTCTTGCCGACCAGATCTGTAAACTTTATGTGTTCAGATTTTTTAAACGTTTAATTACGGTATTAGACCTAGCATATAACTTTTCGGAGTGATAGGGAGATTTATACGTCTATCATAAATAAAGATTTCCCTATCTTTATTCTCGTCACTATACTAAACATTTGCTAGAGTGTATAGATTGAAATGGTGAGAAATCACATCGGATTAGGAAATGCTAGTAGAAACCATTAGCCTGAGCCACAAGTGATTGAGCATGCAACAATAGTTGCCTTTAGCCAATCACAATGGCAGGAGTCTAAGAAATGATTTGTGATATGTTGGCCAAACAAAAGGAGGAGATGAGGCAAATTTTGCTTAATAGGGATGAACCTACTATACCCTTTGTACAACCTAAACTGATCATCGAACAGTCAGATGAAGGAAACTATAGTCAGACCGTCAGTCAAGATGAGCCATAAGTGGTTAGAAGAAACCAACCCAATGGAGGGCATGGATATAAGTACAAGGATTTCATGGAATCCAAACCACCAAGTCTTTCTGGAAGCCCAACACCGATGGAAGTCATGGATTGGATCTTCGAGATGGAGATGATATTTGAAAGTTATAACTGCAGCAACAAATAGAAGACTGCTCTCATGCTAACACTGTTGAAGACTGGGGTATTAAGCTGATGGAAGCTACTAGTTGATACCATGACCAAGGCAGAAGCTAGTAAGATGTCTTGACAAGAATTTTTGGTGCAACTGAAAATGCAATATTGCTTTGAGTAGGATGTTCTGGAGATCAACAACGAGTTTCAGAATCTAAAGAAGGGAAGGATGAGTGCCACCGAGTATGCTGCAAGTTTTATGGAGAAAATGAAGTTTGTTCCTTATTTGGTTCCAACTAAACTCTACAAGGCCAACAAGTTTTCCAGTAGATTACCAACAGACTTTGGTTTAACGGCCAAACAAGCAACCACCTTGAAAGCCGTCATCTGGGCAACTAAGAATGTAGAGACCCAGATAAAAGAAAAAGGTCTACAAATAAAAAGGCAGGAAAAAAGAGGAAGCTTGAAATATCCTCAAGATCCGATAAGAAAGGAAGATTATCGAAGTCCAACTTGGATTAACAGAAGTATGGAGCCAAGTGGTGTAAGAAGTGTAAAAAGAAGTACTATGGGAGATGCTACGAAGAAGTGAATTGTTATAAGTGTGGGAGGATCGGTCACTATTTCAAGGATTGTACGTTTAATGATAAGGTATGCTACGGATGTGGAGACAAGGGGCATATGTCAAAAAGATTGCCCAAATAAAAATGAAGCAACAAGACCGAATGCACCGCTAAAGCCAAAGGCAAGAGCATTCTAGATGATCCATAATGAAGTAGGCAAGGATGCACGGGATTATGAGTAAGGATCTATAAAGTAGCCGTATAGATAGTATCATGTGGTGTAGCCTATTATAAGAGGCCTAGTATAAGGTGAACCTGAATATATCTATGTAATCGTTTCAAGAAATAATATAAACCTTGATTATGTTACCTGATGTGTTAAGTTGCTATATGATTTTTCTTGTATGGTGACTTGGAGAACTGCGAGACAATACTTGGGACAAGTATGAGTAGGTGTGAAAGGTAGTAGATGCCTATACTACGGGAAGCACAAGATTTGCACTTGGATCAGGGAAAGTCACAAGGTTACCAAGGCGCTAGTAGTTGATTCTGTTTGATTGATGTCTGTCGTTTTCATTGTTTTGGTAATGACTAAGAAGATGATTGTTTTTCCGACCCTAGTGGTCATATCAAATTGGGTCCAACTAAGATGAGTGTGCTACGTGGTTCAGAGAACCAAGTTCGATATAACGTCAGACATAAGCCAGACGATTGAAGTGAAAGATAATCAAAGCGATCAATAGAAGTATCGCGACCACCATTAAAGTAAAGAAGCTTTTAGTTAAAAGTGCTACATGCTAGAATGTGATTATATCACATTAGAACATGAAGGAAGATATTCCATTCTGGAATTTGACTCAAAAAGACCTGAGTCTAGGCATTGCATCATACGATGAGAGATCATTAGAACATGACCCATCAGTCTGTTACAATAATTGAAGTAAAGTCTATTTACAGAAGAGCAGGAGTCTCTAATAAGGATCAAGATTATAACTTGATGGTTAGGATTTGAAAGTCCAACGTGAGATAGAGAGCGGGTACAAGATTGATTACCACCAACAGTCAAGAGGTCCAAGAGTTAGATACTCATTTGAAAGGACACAAGAGTTATGGTTATTACCTAGGATGAAAAGATAACATATGCAGTCATTATACAATCCCTATTTTGTTGATGATTCCAGGACATAATCATCCTAAGGGGGAGATAACTGTAACGCCCACCAATTTGGGTTAGTCAATTTAGAGACAATAAGCGTTAAAAATGACTTTTTAATAGAAGATTATTTAGAATAAATAATCTTAAACAAGTTATAGTATATATAACAAGGATTTTGTACACATAAAGAAGGCTGAAATTCAACTTATAACAAAGAAGTTATGACCTGTCGAAGTTTAGCGACAAAACTAACACGGTACCACGTATAATAAAAAATAAATTTTTGATAAACTACTTTTTAGACTTAGGGATCTAAATGAAAGTTGTAGTCTATGTTTAAACCAGAATGTACATAAAAATAATATCCAAATCTGACTTCGTATGAGGAAGTTATGAATTTTCTAAGATTTAGCATAGTTGTGCACAACCCGTAAATCAAATTTTAGATCGATCAATTTTTAGCCGACAAAAGCTAAATAAGAATTGAAGATCTCATTAATTGGAGCTCAAAAATATAAATTCCGTCGAAATCGAACTTTGGATGACAGTTATGAATTTTTAACGGACTTTAACTGTTTAAAACTATTAAAATATAACTTTAAAAATAAATCAAAATTAGCCGACTGAGTCTAAACAAAAGTTATAGATCATGTTGCTACCTACACATGGATATAAAGACGTGAAAAACAGAGTTCTTACACGAAAGTTACGGAATTTAGAAGATAATTAATTTTTTGGTTAAGCTCCGAAGCTGACACGTGGAAAGATCTAGACCGTTGCTTTCTCCCCACGCCTTGCTACCGGATCTTCACACGTGGCCATGCACCCTTCGTAAGGCCAAGTACATCCCGAATACTAAGTACGCCCAACGTACGTGTTTAGTACGCCCTGCATACACGCAACTTCCTGCCTATCACATATTTCTCACACTTCTCTCCCAAATGAGCCCAACCATCTTCCCCTTTCCCTAGTACTTATTAAGTGCTTGAAGCGAGTCCCAGAGCACCAACAGGCTCCGAAAAAAAGAGCATTTGGCTCAAAAGTTCTGCCCCCTCAGAGCCCGACTCCTAGCTAAACTCCATTGTAAGTGAGTTATGCTTACCCTACTTTTAGTATAACTTATTTTTAAGTTCATTATCGTTATTGTGAACCTATAAACAATATATGTTCTAAGTATTATAAATTATTCAGAGTGTTATTATAATACCTTATATCGACTCACGGTACGGGGAATCTGGTTTGAAGGGCAACATAGGGTTCTTGGATTTCAAAACAACTTAAATACCAAAATGATCCTGCCCTCTGGTGTTTCATGTATGGCCCCTATCTGCACATAGTAGTTGAAAAGTATTGTTTAACACTTATATAATACAAGAAAAATAGTATTACCTAGACTAATAATTAGTCGCAATAAATATTGTCAGAATAAATCACGCGTAGATGGAAAGATTCTAAATAGAAAAGTAAATCAAGCGAGAATGGAATAATCATACTGGTGCTGAATGATTAATAATAAGTGACTTAGAAGAGCTCCATGAGGAACTTCTATTTTAAAGACACAATAGGGAATTACAGAATCATTAACCCTAATACGGTGCATGCATGCACTATTTATAGTCTAACCCTAGCACATTAAAAACCGGGTGGATAAGCCCAACCTATTTACAACCGGACGTACCAATTGATCATATCAGAAAAGCACTTCCTGTCTATGGCATTGTTCTCTTTATCCTGACTCACAAACTCCACAATATATTCAAGGCATGAAGTGTAGTATAGATGCTTTTCAGGCAAAAAGAAACAAACTCTATGAAAGTTCGCATCTGATTTTTCTCGTATCTGAAAAGCGACACTCCAATCCTTCTTTAATATCCTCCCTAATTTCATCGTATCAAGATCCTTCGGGGGTTCCTTGGGAAGCACTGTAGGTTTCTTATTAAGAACAATTGCAATCTCCACATCCATCTTTCCAACCTCCTGGATGTAAGAAACCAACATTCGTTTAAGATGTGCAATAATAGGCTCGAAATTCTGTTCAACTTTTAGTATAAGAAGCAACAAAGAGATCCAATTGAATGGGTTGACGCAGGGCATATCTACTAGAGTAAATTCGTGCATTGAACTCATAGCCCCACGAGCAACCTTGAAATGAACATTAATGAAGCTCTCAGTTTCAATTGGTCTGAACACCTTAACAACTATGATCTACTTTGAGCTCCATGTTTCATATTGTGGCCTCATGTGCTTTAGATAAAATGAAACGAGCACCTTATTAGTACCTTTGTTAGAAGGAGAAACATTCGCAATTTTGTCAAAACTGCAAAACAGAAAGGCCTTCGGCGTAATAGACAGATCAAGCTGCAAATCCAGAGAGTTATCCAATTCGAATGATCCAACAGGCTCTAGCCAATAAATGTTCGGATTGTCGATGGCTTTATTCAGAATTCTTTTTAGTGTCCACAGAGGAAAGATGGTTTTTGAGCTTTTAATGTTTCCTCAGCGTCATGAGCCGCCTTCTCTTTTTCCTCTGCTTCTTTTGCAACTCACAAGTTTTCATCAAGTTCAGCATCGCGAGCTTTAAGCTTTAACTTATCAGTTTCATCACCTTCTTCATCATCATCATCATCATGAACAATAATCTTCTCTTTCCCTTTTGATCCTGAATATACATTACCCTTCGGATCTATGTTGTCAATAGCGGCGCTATATCGGTTAGCGGAGGTAAGGAAACGCTATTTCAAAATAGCGGTGGCGCTATTAGCGCCATAATTTACCGCTATTTACCGCATTTATGGTCACCGCAATAGCGGCGCTATAACTGCTATTTGAATAAATTCCATTTTTGGGCTATTTTACATAAAAAAACATTTTTTTGTGCCATTCCACTGAATACAATTGTTTTTTCTTAGCCCAAACCAAAACTTTTGTGTCATTCTATTGAATAAAATTGTAATTTTGTGACTATCATAACTTCCATTGAAACCATGTATGTGTTGTCTTATTAATTGTGTTGAAAACTCTAAGTACTACATTATGATTAACTATCAAATTACTTAATCATTTCATTTGATAACTATAAATGTGTTAAAGTATGATAAAATAGTATGTATTGCATATGTTTTCTTGTTGACTGTGTTAAAGTATGATTAACTGGGGCATTGGTAATCGGTTTGTGAAGTATGATTAACTAATTATGATATATGAAGTATGATTAACTAAATATGATATGTAAATTATGATTTACTGATTAACTAATTAAATGGATTGGGTTGAACTTTAAAGTATGATTTACTGATTAATACTTTAATATATATAAATTCTAAATAATATAAAAAACGCTATATCACCACTATACCGCTGTGAGAACCGCGATTTCAAATAGCGGCCAGTGACCGCTATTATATTTTTGACCGCTATAGCTACTTAGCTTCGGATCTTAGATTTGGGTTTCTGTTCATGATCATCTTCACCTTCAATTCCTCAACCAGCACCAGAAGCCTTCATTGGTTCTCCCCCTTGTTTTGGAATAGAAGTTTCCGAAACACCTTCGATCATGTCGAGCATGGAGAAGATAGGCTTCAATTTCTCTACCAAATGCTGACGAACCAATATGGTGAGGAGAGAATCACGAGTCTCGATAAGACTGTGCAAATTTACATTCACATTAGCAACACAACTTTTGAAAACTGTCTTCTCAGATTTGAGTTTGTCGATTTGCTTATTCGCAACAAATAACTTCACTGAGAGAATCTTCACCTTCTCAGTTTTGACAGCAAGCTTCATTATCTTAGTTTCAAGAGCCAAATCTTCTTGAAGTTTTTCAATTTTGGAGGAGATGGAAGTTTGGAACTCCGAATGGTCATTTTGAAGCTCATTGCAAACTTTTGTAAGAGCTGCCTTTTTTGGTTGGAGAGTGGAAACATGGTTGTTGATGGCTGTGTTTGCAGAGGAAGTGTTTCATTCGTATGAACTGCGAAAATCCTCCATAAAGCCTTGAATGTCAGAAAGTAGTTAATCAACTTTTTCGGTCTTATCCTTACATGTTTTTTTTTTTTCAGAATCAGCAACTTCTTTGTTTGTGATATTGAGATTTCCAGCATGCTCCTTCGTAAGTGTTTCAAGGAAAGCTTTGACAGAAGCCTGAGAGTATTCATTTCTAGATGAGGCTGTGGTGGACTCAGGTAAAGGATACAACTTGGAATTCAGTGCCTTGAACTACTTTGTTATCATTAGAGCATCATCTTCATTGCTTTCTTGTTGGACATTAAAAGGACTATAATGAAAATCTTCGAAATCATTCTGATCATCGCCAAACATGATATCCGGATCATCATGGCGAAGTGGTGAGATGGGAGTGAACTCGGTAGTAATAGAAAAACCAGAAGCCCTTACCCCAGTATCAGATACGTTGGCAGTGACTGGTAACGAACTTCTGGTTGTTGTTGTAGTTGTTGTCGAGTATGTGAAGAGAGAAGTAGATAACAGAACCAAACCTTGAGGTTTCAAAACTCCCATAGAGATATTCGGGCACGAAGCAATAGAGATCGGTGTTATTGTAGCAGTGGGTGAAGGTGGAGTAAAATCTTGAAATAAATCATCTGTAATTGGAACTGAAGTTGGCATAGAAAAGGTTATCTCAGGATTTTTAGTTATGGGCTCCGAAACCATTGGTTGTGAAGACACAACTGGATCATCAGTTTGCACTGGTGTTGCTTAGGTCTACAAACATCAGAGACAGTATGAGACTCAGAAACCACCTCATCACTTAGTGTAGGAGTTCTTGCTTTGCGAACGGCCCGCTTCTTCTTATTTGGAGTCTGAGAGGGTTAGGAGGGTTCACCCTTTGTTTTCTGTTTCTCCTTTCTTGGGTTTCTCTGCCTCTTCCAAAACCTTTTGAGCTGCAACAATTAAGGGACGAGGGCTGGATGCCAGTTGTTTGCGATAGGCGATAATAACTTCACTATCAGTTGGAATGTTGTGAATCATCTATTCTGGAATGGATCTGATAAATGTGAACTTTGAGCTATCAGAGACTATGACATTTGAAGTATGAAATATTAGAATCGAAGCAATCACCAAACCTTCTACCACTGAAATATCATGGTGATCGATAGCCCTCTTAACAATAATTACCCAAAAACGAGCACATAAAATCTCCGAGTGACGAGTGACAGAAAGAGTACTTTGTACTAATTGATCCCAGAGGATAGAGATGTAATCCAAGTTGATTCCAGAATAAATATCATAGAGGATAGTAAGAAAGACCTTACTTGCATTGTATGATCCAGTGGTCCTATCCGAAAAGCTCTTAAAAATCAGGGTAAATAACCCATTCCACACGGGATGAAGATTGGAATTTTTAAACTTGGAAAGAACAACAAGATACTCCACGTAACCCATATGGTAGAAGATTGCAAGCATGGAAGAACTGGAGATAGTTTTTGGTTCGATCAAATCCCAAGTTGAGGGAAGTCTCAATAAACAACTGAATTGCGATTTGGTGATGAAAGTTTACTTATTATCAAGCTCAAAGTAGATGGTATAATCACTTTCTTCATAACGTGGAGTGGAGTAAGCCTTGGACAACAGACATAGAGGAACATGTTCTATTTTTGAAAGTGTAATAGCCAAGGGAGAGTGTCTGAGGCACTCGATCAACAGTTGTAGAAAGGCATCATACTTGGTTGGATCAATATCCAAGATGAGATTTTGATTAGCTTTTATGCCCAGCAACTCTAAAGAAGCAGTCTGACCAGCAACAGATGGAGTCTTTGATAAAGTTGCCATTGAAATCGGTGAAGAAGACGATGAACAGTCTTAAGAGAAAAAAGGGTTTTCTTTTGCTGGATGATTTTTTGAAATCTTTGGAAATGGTAAATGAATGTGATTGATGATTTTCCTTTTATACGTCAGTGTTGGAGAGAGAAATCCAACTGGAGACTGTTCATTACATGTGAAAAAGTGCATGAAAAAACGTGTGTGACAGGCCTGATGTCAGGCGGCATAACTGACAAGGCGTGATGTCAGGATATTTGAGAACACACGCTCAAATCGGTTCGTATTCCTTAAAGACCGCATTTTATGTTTTTCCCATTCGTATATGATTGCCATTGCTTGTTCTCCGAATCTGAAAGTAACCTTTAGAACTGCAAACCAGACTTTTTGCAAATCACAAGCATCTTCGGTCAAGAGTGTGCCAAAGATAAATAAATAACGAAAGTTATCTAAGGGATTCTAGTGATGTCAGAAGACATGAAACAGTTGGATCCTGGGCAACGATCTCTTCCTCCATAGTCAAGAAAGACTGGAATTATCTGTGTGTTGTCCCGTTGAATTACGATCATTTGTTTGTTGAGAAACATTGAAAGGCTTCTTTTCATAAGGCTTAATAGGTGGCTTCATCTTCAACCAAACTCCAAAACACAATATAATTTTGAATGTTCGAAAGAAGTACTTGTTTGATCAATGTATCCATAAGAACAAGTATGCTTCAGATGAACTTAAGTGGCTAGACAAGAGCGAAATCTCAAGAAAAATAAAAACTAGATCTATTTGGAACAAATGTTTTAGGTCTAGAGCATTCCATTAAGATCTCGCAAAAATAAAATATTTAGATTTGAAGGTACGAACCATGAGGGTTAAAATTCGTCAATTAATGGTGAAAAGTCCAGAACATAATTATTGTTCACCGTTAATGCATAAAAAGGCTTCATAGGTTGGGTTTCACTCAAATTGTGGTGATAAAAATCTGAAGATCATAAACATAGAACTTGTGTAACCATAAACCTTAGTGGTAATTTCTGAGAGTCTCAGGGGTTACAAGTGTGAAAATGAAAATGATGGAGAAGTGTTAAAGGTGGTTCCGAAGAAATAAATGTACCTATGCTATTTTGCAAATGATCAAGTAGTCAACTCTTAGCTCAATATGAGAAGAGTAAGGTAGTTCAATGACTTATGTGAATATTAGTTTGATTGGGAAGAAACGATTGCTATTATTGATTCATTAAGGTTTCGAACATAGAGCCTCAGAGGATTTAGATAACATGCAGCAACATGATTCTAAGGGCACTTAACTAGTGCAAAGATTTGGAATTTTAGACCTGCCCCATCATTTGTAATTGAGTGTATCATGATATGGTCCTTCCATCCTGCTTAATTATCCATTATTTTTGATATTTTTAATGATTTTACGAAAAGAAACAAAATAAAAAATGAACAAAATATTTTTGTATTTTTGAGTTTTTCTGAAAAAGAAATAAAAACAAATTTTTTTTTTTTTGAGTTTTTAATTTTATGAAAAAGAAATAAAAACAGAAAATAAAGAAAATATTTTTGAGTTTTTGATTTTCTGAAAAAGAAATAAAAATAGGAAATAAAGAAAATCAAAAAATAAGTGTACAAAGACTTAGTAAAGCATAATTTACAAAGGATACAAGAACTTCTGAACCTCCAAAAGTGGACTCCGAATCGCTCTGAGTGTTCGGACCAATTCGCAGCGTAAACAGTTGACTCCGAACTACCCCGAGCGTTCGGACCCATTCATAGTGAATTCTTACCAACTACTAAGATAATTTCAGAAATGATTCAGCTTCAACCATTCCTAAGCCTTGAAGAATTCTATTGAAGGTTTGTTCAGGTAAGGCCTTCGTGAAGATATCAGCCAGTTGATCAGCAAATCTCACAAAATAAATTTCAACATTTCCATCTTCCATGTGATCCTTGATGAAGTGATACCTCAATGTTATGTGGCTGGTCTTTGAGTGCTGCACTGGGTTGTGGCAAATGCAAATTGCGCTTTCAGAATCGTAGTATAAGAGGATTCGCTTCATATTTATCCCATAGTCCCTTAGCTGACTTTGGATCCAAATGAATTGCAAGGTGCATGATGTAGTGACAATGATTTAGTAGTTGATAGTGAGACACATGTTTACTTTTTGGATTGCCAACTAACGAGTTTGCCATCCAAAAATTAACATCCTCCTTTTGTACTTTTGCGATCAAGACCCCAGCTGCCAAGATCTACATCCGAGAATGCTTGCACGAAAAACCCTGAGTTCAAAGGGTACCATATTCTGAGCGAGGTGGTTCATTTATCATATCTGAAGATATTCTTTACAGCCTTCATGTGAGGTTCACGAGGATTTTCTTGAAACATAACACAATAGCTAACATAAAACATAATGTCTAGACGACTAGCGGTTAGATACATCAATGACCCTCTCATCTGTCGATAGAGAGTCATATAAGTAGTTGGTTTGTCTAAAGACGGTGTTAGCTTCGTTCTGATTTCTCTTGGAACCTTCACTTTTGAATCTCCCACCATTCCGAACTTCATGAGTAAGGACTTCGTATAAGCCTCCTGGTTGATAAATATCCCTTATTGACTCTGTCTAATATTCAAACCAAGGAAAAATTTAATCGAACCCATGGAGCTCATCTCAAACTTAGTTTCCATCAACTTTAGAACTTAGCAATTGATCTAGGATTAGTAGAACCAAAAATGATATCATCAACGTAAATCTAGACGATCATTAGATGGTCACCATCTTTCTTGCAACAGAAGG